GGTGTTTCCGACAAATTCTTTTGGACACGACCAGCCCCAACTATTGCCAAAAGGCCATTACTATTGAACAGTTTATATTCTTCAGACAACCAGAACTTGACAATTGATGAATTGTATGTCCAATGTAAAGGGATTTGTGACAGGCTGACAATTTCAGACAATGATAACACATACATCCATGACAGCGAATAGGTCGTGTTTCTTCATCTACCATCCATAGAAAATTACAGCTCATCTCTAAAAAACCATCCAAATCACTACTTTTACAGATCTGCAACCCATCAACAACCAACTTGAAAGTATCATCAATCGTATGGGGATGCGATAATGAACAAGAGGTAATGCTTGAATTTAAAGAGACACTTTCAACTTTGCTCCCGGACTTCTCAATGACTGCATCAAGGTCGGTATATTATCAGGAAGTGTTTGATCCCCACATGGTTTTCCTAAAAATATTTTTATGCAATAACTACAGGGAGATGTTCTCTCTTAATCAAGAACCCAAATAATCATCTGAAACATATCAGTATTTATAAAATAACACTTGAACATACATTCAGTAACCATTGGACCTTTTGTTCACCGTTTTCTTTGAAGTCAGATGGTAGTTCTATAACTCCTTCCAAGTCAAGAGTAATGAAGTGTTTCAAGTAGTAGTCAATCTTCAACATGTAAAAGAAAATTTGAGTATAACCCACCAATTCAATTTGTCTGCAGCTTAGTATACTTATTACTCTCTCAGCATGATTTACCCAGCTCTGCCCTGGAGCGCATCTCACATGAATCAGCATAACTGAGTCAAATTCACGAAATAAAGTATGTTCGTACAGATTACTTTTTCAAGTGTATTGTGTTGATCAGGCCCACCATTTGTTATTTTAAGTAGGATAAGGTTTATATTGATCCATCAAATGTATTATCCACAGGTTCAGTAATAACGTTCCATAACAAATGGTAGCAGTCCATACCATCTTTAATTTTCGAAATAGGCAGACATGGAATCACGGTCATTGTTATTTTTGCTATGTTGAGAATACTCTGTCTAACATTTGTTTTCGATTGTACATCGAAACCACCATATGTCGAATAAGATTTACGATCTCTGCATGTAGGCCATCCTAGTTTGCGTTGGATAAAAAAATGGTTGACCAGTTCACAATCTGTTACAGTGATGAATGCTGAAAATGTTTGCAAGAGGTGTTCATCGGTATATATGTCATTGCCACCAAAGATGTAGAGTTGTGGTGAAATTCCTTTAGGAAGATAATTACGTAACACATACCCATCTCTTATGATTTTACCGATCATCTGAAGGGTTCGATTTAATAAAGTTCTGGCATCAACTCTAGGGAATTTATGGGAGTTCCCGACGAAAACATAATCACTACCATAAACGGAAACCATTTCCCTTGTCACACCCTCGAAATCTAAGGTTTTTCTTTACTAAAAAAGTACAATTGATTTGGTGGTGTATAATGTCTGGTTGATCTCTGTATGTACTGAGTACATCTGCAATAATATCTTCTCTTGTCACAGTGACATTGATGGCAGGAAGGAGGCCCTCACGTATCCTGTCTCTTCTTGTTTCTAAATCTGTGAGATCTGAAAAATACAGTGACAATTAAAATGCAATCAATGGGAATAATGTATACTTATTGACTGGGTATGAGTGGAATAGTAAGTTTATTGTCCCCGATGTGTAACTATTGTCCTGAGGCGTAGCCGAGGGCAATAATTGTAGCCGAGGGGACACAAACTTACTATTCAACGTATATCCAGTCAGTAAGTGTTTTATTATACCGAAAAAGAAAGCAGACACTAAATGTCGGGGCTAAATCAACTATCATAATATAAATAGAAGCAACACCACCATACTGTTTCATATTTAATTCATATATATTCTGAACGGTAAGGCTACGTTCTACACCGAGGTCAACCCTAGATGCAATAGGTAAAACGCGACGTCGTAGCTCCAGTAGTATTCTCAACAGCCAATCCTGTAGCAATAGTTGTAGCCGAGGGAACAATTAACTTACTATTCCACGAATATCCAGTCAGTAAGTGTTTTATTATATCGAAAAAGACAACAGATAATAAATGGCGGTGATAAATCAACTATTGTAATATTAAAAAGTAGAAACGTTTACTTCATAGATATGTTCAAATGATAAGGCTACGTCTTGCACTGACGTCAATTCTATACTAGATACAATAAGTAAAACACGACGTCGTTGCTCCCGCGTTACTTTCAAAATCCCCCAATCGCGTAGCTGCATTTAAAACTCCGCGAAATATAACGACGCTTGCGGTCATATAGTTTCTCCTAGGTCCAATAGTTCAAAGCTTGTAATTTGCAAAATAGTGAAAATATTGTGTACTTATCTTACATAGAAAATGATAACTGAGGTATACTAAACTAAAATATTAGATACAGTATTAAGTGTCCTTTAGAAATATCTTACTTTTACCTTGTATACATGTAACACAGACTTTTTGCAATCATTTACATTATCATTTCATCTGTGTGGGAATATAATGAAGTGTTCCTTGTTGAATGAACACTAAGTATGGGTCAAAACCCTAATGTTGCATACGCAGGTAGGTAAAGGCACTTATGTTTGAGTGGCCGTTCGTGTCATTGGCGGTATGAACATACCGTATGAAATTTTCAACGCGTTGGTTTTTACTTTCAACGCGTTGGTTTTTATTATCAACGCGTTGGTTTTTACTTTCAACGCGTTGGTTTTTATTATCAACGCGTTGGTTTTTACTTTCAACGCGTTGGTTTCACTTTCAACGCGTTGGTTTTTACTATCAACGCGTTGGTCTTCCTTTTCAACGCGTTGGTTCGTAATTCATACGGTATGAAAAACCAACGCGTTGGTTTTCAATTCCATACCGTAAGTTTTCCACTTATGTCTACCAATCAACATCTTTGTAACAAAGTACAATCTTATCAACCGTTCGGACGGACTCCAGATTGTTGTTAAGTTTGGCGGGAAAAAATATTCTCCGTTGTTGAAGATACTTACTGACTTGCTACATGGCTACACGTAGAGGAGACCGGGAGCGATTTTTAGATCGATTCAAGGAAATGGTGAATTATTGCAGCCGGATTAGCACTTCGGATACAATGGACGATGATACATCAGAAAATGTTCGAGGAAGGTACACATGTTTGATATATGTTTATGGTTAATAAAAACTACATGATATTAAGTCAAAATATATTTCTTGATAGTCTGTGTTCTCGTCAGAGCATACATTCAAGCAGTACCCACTACAAAGAAAATTAATTAGGTGGAAAACTTCTTCAAAACTTTTTCCGTTCAAGCAATTACAAATGTTTTGTAGAAACATTTATTCGACATTTTTCCCATAACCTACAGTTCATATTATTATATATTGTGATAAGGTTACGAAACGTCTCAGTTACGAAACGACCTAGTTTGTTCCGAATCGCCTTTGTGCGAAACGACCAGGTTACGAAACGAACTGCACCCATGAAAGTTACAACAATTGCGTTTCAAAGGAATAACGTTCAGTTAGGTTGCTATTAGATGTTCGTTAAAAAATTATATGCAATTTATATATAGTAAAGTATTTACACTAAATTTACAGTAGTATGAGATATTGGTACCTGGTTATTGGAACCCGGGAATGAGGGATGAAAATCAAGGGCTAGAGCAGCGGGAATCAGTGGCAGGAACTGGGAGACAGATGACTAAAAATATGATTAATTTATACTTGACAAGTAAAATGAAATAACAGGGGAACAGAATTCTGGAGATTGAATGTTTGGGAAGGGAAGTTGGAATTAAGAGGATTGGAATCAATGACTCCCCATGTCTACCACTCTTGCCAAAAAATGTCGGGAAGCTGCAGACATGAAGTATTTTTATAAGAAATGTTAATAACATACACCATTTTTAGTCACCTACAAGCTCAATGGTTATATTTAGAACACAAGAGGCTTCATGAAATTTCTTGAACTCTCTTGACTTGAAATAATAATGAAATCACTAAAGTCAATATGCAACAAAATACCTACGACGGTGTAGTTCGAATTTCAACTTGTTATACAAAAATATTTTGCAGATTACAGTTGTTGCGTCGAGATATTGAAAGAGCCAGTGGTGGACTGATAACCAATGAAGAATGTGCCGAATTCATTCCATTACTGGATGACATGGAAAAAGAAGTTTCAGCTAGGTTTGCAGCTTGTAGATCTGGTATATATCAGTTGAGTTGGATAGATATATGGGTTGAACCCACTTTCAATTTATGAATATACGCTACAAAACAAAAAAGAATTTTAATATATAAGCTCATAAAATCTAGCACTGGTGGAAGTGCATACAAGGGAAATTAAGAAACATTCATACTAGTGTGTTTTCAGTCTTACACAAGACTTTGTGAAATTAATGACCTTCAGTGGTGATTTTACATGTATTTTCTAGCCATGAATATTTAATCATTTAAAGAAAACTAGATCAGATTTCTTAAATCCGTATCTAACCCGGTGAAATGGTATCTTTTTCATTATTGGTATGTGCCATTATATGAGAATGATCGTTAGAAGAAGGGGTATGTATTCTAGGTTATAAACTGTCCGATGATTTTGCATATGAATATGTAACAGTCGTCAGTTCAAACATTAAGAAAAAAAAAATGAAATATTCAGCAGCATATTTAAACATAAATATAAGTATAGGTCTCGTCTGTTTAACTATACCTGTTCATATTAATTTAATGTGCAATATCATGACTTCTAACTACAAAAAAGATACATTTCGTGAAATGTTGTGACTTTTTAAGGAACAGTCTCAGTTGTAGTACCTCATAAATTTTATGTTTTTTTACCATAGAAAAAGATCAATACCGCAGTGAACGGGTTGCAGTTGACGGTAATGGACATTCTAAATTCAGCATTTCAAAAGAACAACTGGAATACCTAGTCAAATATGGGTTTACAGCACCAATGATGAGTAATGTTCTTCGTATATCAGAGTCAACTGTCCGTCGAAGACTGAGGTATTAATTATCTTGTGTTCCTATTAAAACAAATTTAAATTTACATTGAAGTAGTTGAAAACAAAAAGACTGCAGCAATTTTGTAAAGGATAATCAATATAATGTAATTTGCGACACTTATAATTCTTCCGTCGGGGGAAGTGCATATTTGCCCAGTATCTGTTAGGAGTAAGTAGAATACGTCTGTGTGTCGATTGCTCCATCTGAAATTTTCGGAAAAGATTTCTTTGGTTCATTTAAATCATGATAAAATTTTAATACTTGTATTTTTAGAGAATTTGGTTTAAGCCTGAGAAAGACAACACATATCACCGACATGGAGTTAGATCAATCAATCACTGAAGTGATTGGTACAAATCGCCATATTGGACCGAATTCAGTCAGAGTTCGACTTGCACAAAAGAAAATATTTGTTTCCAGAGAGAGAGTGAGGACAGCATGTGCACGTGTAGATCCAGATGGATGTTCCTTACGATCGTTAGAGAGAAAAAATATAAAACGTCGTACTTACAAGGTTGCTGGACCAAATTCCCTGTGGCATCTGGATGGAAACCACAAGTTGATATGGTATATATGCAGTTTTGATATAAAAATCAAATATATTTTTAAAATAAATATTGTACGATGGGTCTCATGTAGACTTTTTTTACACCTACCATACAATGACATTCTTTATTTCTCTTAAAGTTCACATTGTCGAACTTAATTGATTGGCATTTTGTTAACACCTAATTTATTCATTTCATAGCAAAACCTTCTTAGTAGTTACTACGTTTGTATCTATTGCTATATATTTGATTTAAGAGTAAAAAATAACTCCTAATTATTACAAAAAGCTATCCATCCCAACGGGAACTTTAAAGTTTGAATATTTCTTATTCAAATCAGAGACATATATTGTATTATATGTCTCTGTTCAAATGAAATAATTATATGACACCTTCGTGTATGGTCTGTGGTTTTGTTGAAACTGAAACATTCAAATGTAGATATAACTAAAGTTAAAACTTATCAACAGAGAATGATTTTGGTATTTTTACTTAATAAATATCTGAAGATATCAAAATGTAATCAATGTCGAAGTCACATCTGCTCATGTTCAATACGAGTTGACATTGAAAGCATATTTTTTGCATATAGACAGAACTCGGATTCGTCCGTTTTTACGGTTATTACATAATAAAATAAATATACAGTTGTTCTGTGGGAGCCAATGCTCCATGTTGAAGACCGTACTTTGACCTATAATGGTTTACTTTTATAAATTTTGAATTGGATCGAGAGTTCTGTCATTGGCACTCATACCACATCTTCTTACATCTAGTTACTTTGTAACAGGTTTTAAGGAGTTGCTACCTGTAATGACAAATGGTAGTCTGTTTATCTCTATTTTCCTATGTCGTTGTTTATTTTTAAATCTAAAACATTATGTGTGCTGTAAGTTTCTAGACAATTTTCCACATCACTCTACTGTTCTTGGATAGGGAATTATTAGTCTGTAAGATAAAAGGAAAATTTTGTATATTAGCGATAGAGTAAACTAAACACACACGTACTCATGAAAACTTTGTCGTTTTGCTGATATATCAATTTCCATAAATAATCACATTTCTATTTTAACCATACGCTAATGAGTCTCAATGCAAAAAATATCGGGTTATCGGGTGCATTATAATTTGCAGCAGTCCTTGGTTTAAACTATGGTGTCCTTGGTTAAAACTATGGTGAAGGTCTTCAAAAGCTCACTCTTTCACAAATCTCATTCATAAACCAAATGGTTCAAATAGAGACGTAAACAACTGATAAAAGAAATCATATGTCAATATTTTTATTCAATGTTTTAGAATTTAAATATTTGTTCACAGGTGGGAAATTGTCATCCATGGTGGTATTGATGGTTACAGTAGAATGGTAAAATTCTTAAAAGCAAGCAATAAAAACAGATCAATAACAGTTTTTAATGAATTTATCAAGGCAACCACAAAATACGGCATTCCATCAAGGGTACGGGTAGACAAGGGCATTGAAAACAATGACGTATGCATATTCATGGAAGATCTAAGAGGCAACGGAAGGGGCAGTGCTATAAGAGGCAAAAGCTCCCACAATCAGAGAATAGAACGTTTGTGGGTCGACGTATGGGAGAATGTTAGTAATGAGTACTACGACCTGTTTACATACATGGAGCACAACAATATACTAGATATAACTGAAGAAGTACACATGCTTTGCTTTCTCTTTGTTTTTATTCCACGATTAAATGAAAGCCTAGTTATGTTGAACTATCAGTACAATAATCACCCACTATCAACTGAAAGTCACAAAACACCAAGTCAGCTATTCATAACAGGTGTTCTGACGAAGTTCAATTCAGGAAATAAACCAATAAAAGAAGTTGTCGAAAATGCTGGAAATCATGACGAATTTCAGAACTCTTTACCTCCAGAAGACTATGGAGTTGGCGATTCGGATGATGGGGATGTCGCCATTATTAGTGAAGATGAAGACATAAAGACAATTCCTCAACGGACACATGAAAACCATCTTCTTTCAAGATTGGATGCAGCAGTCAACCCACTAGAAAACGTTAGTAATGTGGAATATGGGCTTAAACTATTTAGGAAAGCATTAAGCATTGTTACCACAGAAGAAAATTAAACTTTTTTCAGCTTAAATTGAGAGATTATCATTATTTATAGATTGTTCAGTTTAATGTCTGTTACTTTTCTTTCTTTGCTAGTATAATGAGGTCACAATATTGCAACATCGTATCTTCATATGATAACAAAATCTTGCTATGACTTTGCTAATAAAACATTGTAAACAGCATGTAGAATTACATAATGTCTTTATTAATTGGCATACATTTCAAGTACAGTTATACATTATGTGTGCATAGTTCTTAGACACTAATAACTCTATAAAATTCTCACACTTTCTGGTTTGAGTTTTTTTTACATTTATATCTCATAAATTGTATATCCTTCAGCAATTTATTTTGGCAACATACTTTCAAAAACTACTGAGGCAACATCGTAGATAAATATGCAATAACAAGTTGTAACAAAGGGAATTACAGATCTTAAATGACCTGTGGCATATTGTTATAGTGTTTTAAAATATATTGGACCTCAAACTCATACCAGTAATCAAAATAAAAAATCAGGCAAAAAGTGTCAATTAATATTTTATACAAGAGCTGTTAAAATGAAAGTTAACTGTTTTGTTTTATCTGCTTGTGTGTCATGTCATCTTTCAAGAATCATAACTCCTGAATTATAAAGTGTCTAACTATTGATAATTAAGTCTTTCCAGTTCCCTGTGGAAAGACTTATTGTATTTTTTCTGCTTATCATTATTATTAATTTTTTTTCTTCCGCTTAACTTTGTTTTGCGTAAATTTTTGTTTCGTAATATGTCGCTAAGATATTTCTTATATAGTATCATACAGTTTATGCACTTTTTATTTTCACCCATTCTAAGCCAAACAATTTTCTTTAAAAGAGTTATCTCCCTATTCACTGTTTATTACATGTGTGCATCTCCTTCGTAACAAAAAAAGATATCGACAAAATTCTTTTTCTTAATTGTTCGTTACATCCTCAGGAATATTTGGCTAAACTTGTTATTTCACTAAAGGCCTCACATGAGGCATTATAGTACAATAAATTTACCAACAAATATAATTAATGCATGAACAAACATATATACATATGAAGTTGATGTAATTGCAGCTGGAAGTTGAACATTACAAATATGATTATTTGAATACAGACATAACAATTTTGCAAAATTTTGACAGGCCTATAAGTGTATATTTATCGTGACTATTCATTAAGTCAAACAGGCTAATAATGTTACTGTTGCTATAGATATGAAGAGGTATAAATTTCTGTCTTTCAGCACTAAAAAAAGTTACAATTAGATATTTAATGAAACTCATCACCTAGTTGTTCCTTATCACATAGATCAAATTCTTTCAGATCTATCAATAGAAAAAAATCTACCAGCCTCAATTGGCAACTTGTGACTTCCACATCTAAATTTTATAATATTATACATCAAATCAGTTGGGAGAACAGAGAGATATTTCTCAAAACCAAATTCAGTCTTATAAATTCTATAATTGATACACTTAGGTGAGTTAAAAATTTGTGCTTTCTAATTTTCAACAAATTTTTCATGAAGAAACTGCTTAACTTGTCTTGACAGAATAACATTTCTTTCTACAGTTTGGTTATTCCAACAATGATTATAACCACATTCAAGTAAAATTTCTTTGATACATGATAACCATTTAGAGTGATACATCACCTTTGTAAAGTCTATATAACATATCACATAACGCGCAAGATATTTTCTCTTTTTTACCATTTAAAATACGTTGCCAAAAACCAACCATTCTGGCTTTGATACAAATAGACATAGGTACTCTACCAAGCTCTCCATAAACAATACAAGTTGGAGTACATTTTTTAATCTTCAAAATATACTTGCAAAATTCTGTATGCAAAGATTCAATAATATCATTGTTTTCGTAACCCCACACTTCAGCACAATATAACAATATAGGTGCAACCATTGCATCAAAACAATTGTAACAAAATATCAATTGGTAAACAAAGTTTTCTCGCTTTACACAATACATAAAACATGGCATTCCTAGCCTGTTGGACTAGTCGTGCTATATTTTTTGAAAATGTACCTTTTCCTAAAAAAAAATATACCCAGATATTGAAAATCTTCTATAACAGCTATTTTTCATTATTATATAAAAACTGAGTATTCTCACACTGCCTATTTTTTGAAAATATAACAACATTGGTCTTAGCTACATTGACTTTGAGCTTCCAGGTTTCACAATACAAAAACATAGCATTTAGTGCAGATTGCAATTCAGCAGCAGATTCTGCAAAAATAACAGTATGATCTGCATATAGTAACAAATACAATTTAAAGTAAACTTCAATATCATCATTATCAAACAGCAAGTGAGAAATATTACATACATCATTAAGACCATCATAGGCATGTGATAAGAACTCTGTCAGATCATTAAGAAAAATTGAGAATAAAAAAGGAGAGAGGTTTTCTCCTTGTCTGACTCCTACATTTGAAGCAAATTATTCAGAGAAATTATTACCTTCTCTTACACATGATTTTGCATTTTCATACAGATTCTGTACAACAATAAGCATTTTACCATCAATACCATTTCGTAACAATTTTTGCCATAGTTAAACTCTACTAACTGAGTCAAATGCTTTTTGAAAATCTACAAAAGCACAGTATAATTTTTTCCTTCTAAATAAGTATAGATCAATTAGACATTTCAAATTAATTGGATCGAAGCGATTCGATGAAATTTTATAGGAGTTATCTACCTTTATCAAATAAATTTGTTGGTATGTTTTTTTAACTCATAAACAATTAACCGTATAACCCTAGAATGTTTTTATTTGAGGCCACTAGGTCAATTTGGATCTAATCGATTTCGATGAAATGATATAGGAGTTATCTACCTTTATCAAATAAATTTGTTGGTATGTTTTTTTTAACTCATAAACAATTAACCGTATAACACTTTTAAAGATATAAAGTATAAGTGCAAAATGTTTGCTGAATTGTAATAAAGATATGCTACATTTGGTCTGAAACAATCTAATGGCATCTTATAGGAGTTAGTGCCCCTGAAATGTCTAATTATTAGTTTTAGTGATTATTACTTCAACTTGGTTCATTTCATAGCAATTTGACAAAAGGTTGGGTGACATATGACCTTGAAAAATGATAACCGGTAGTGACCTTCAGAAACCCAGAAGTAGCCATTTTATTTCACTTTTTACATGGAAAAGTACTCGAAATCCATAGATTTTGTAATTTATATAAATCAACTTATCACAAAAGACTATAAGTGACTTTCCATCAACCGGCAGTGGCCAACTATCTCCTGGCTAACAAGCAAAAGTATAAAAAACTTTATATTTTTGGAATCAGTATGAAAGAAGCTATCATATGAATATGAGACCGAAAGTGCATTTACTTCACCAGAAGAAGCATTTTATATCCCTTATTTCACTCAAAAGTATATAGAAACTATTTATTTATCTCATCAGTATGAAGTAACTTATAATTGGGTGCTAATTTTAACTTTGAGTAAACCGGAACTAGCTTCTTTTCAATATCTTTGAAAATTGATGTGAAAAGACTTTCAATTGTTCTCTAAACAATTGGTTTTTAATTTCTATATATATTTGTTCAGAAACCTCTGGGATTGTGCTTCAAAGTTACACAAAAGGTGTTAAAGATATTCGCTACTCAATTTTTAAATAACAAGCTTGATAAGACTGTAAAAAATAGATAGAACTTCACAAACTAGAAATGCAGAAAAAATTTATTGGTCAGTTTGCTTATTATTGAGATTTCAGACATTGATTTTTTTTTTATGGAAACAGTTTTCTACAGATCAAGTATATTTTGTGCAAAATCTAAGCTCAAATGGGCATACATTCTAGAAAATGATTGAATCATAATATACAATTGACATTCACACTGATGGACAGGTCAAAAACATTAAACCTTTCACAATTTTGTCAATAAGTTTATAATGAACAAGAAAGACAAAAACTATTCTTTTGTAAATGTTTGACTGTTGATAATCAACTCAGTATAGTAGGAAACTGCATCTTCTGATGATAGGTCTGGTTGTGTCGTTAAAGTTAAAGCAAGGGCACATGTATTTACAAAAGTACTGTCTGCAAAATCGACATCAATCAATTTGTGGAATCCAATGGCTGGTATTATTGTTGATCCCGTTAACCACATCATGACATCTTTCAGTTCAAGTTTTATACCATTTATTTCAGTTGCTTTTTCTAAAAAAGAAAATTATACATTGTACTTCTATCTATATAACTTTTTGTGATTGATGGATATCTGCATGTTTTTAATTTCTTAGTCCCCTTAATTATTCTGTTTAATTTATGTATGACTCTACACACAATAATTAAATAAAAATTCTATAAATACAATTATTTTGTATCAAAGGCACTGATTGGATGACAGTAAGCGTAAAATTCTTAATCTCCCTGACTGTAACTAAGGAAGCTGACATTTTGAATTACAGAATGTATTGACATTTTCCCCAAAAAAATCGAACAAAAAATTTACATTTTCCACCTAGAAAACCTTATTTCATCAAATTTTATTTCATTCTGAGGCGACCAAGAAGCCAGAAAAATGCCAAGCATTTATGTTTGATGCCGGAAGCATACCTATGAGGTCACCTAAATAGGGGCCAATGAAGATCCTTTCACAAAACTTATTTTCTTAATGAAAAGTTTACAGTGAAAAAATGACTAAAATTAAATTATCTATGTATTTAGCATTAGAACAGAGATAACTGTATTGTATTTGAATTTTTATGTACATCCAGCATGGGTTCTATGATATTTACTATTGATTAGAGTTTTCATGTTCATATCCTTTACTTTATATCACACAATCTTGAATAAATAAACTGTTTAGAAAACAAAAGGCAATCTATATTATATATAAACAATTATATATTTCAGGGCAAAATACAGTAGAAACATTAATCACACATTAATTGATCGGATAATGGTTAAAACATCAAATTTACACTTTAAATACAAGTTAAAATTCTTATTGAATAAAACCATCAATGGACAAACTGATTTAAATATTTCAAATTGTATGTATAGGAAAAATATAGTGACACAAACTTAGCCAATTTTGTTTAAATTTTTATTTTCTCACTTTTTCAGTGAAGTATGATCATCAACAGACAAATAAAGTAACAGTGGTTAAAAGAATTTTCAAGCATATTTCTTTTGATTACAATGTGAATAAAAAAGGGTCTCTTAAACATTTTTTGCTTAGTTTGGTTTTATTTCATCCGACAATCATTTAATTATATATTTTGTAAAGAGATTAAAAATGTGAACAGCAAACATCAGAAGCAAAGGAATTCATCTAGCACAATATAACATGATTTTTATTTCATATAATTGCATATTATTTGATTTCTTAAAACATTTTGATTTAAATAATGTTTTATAAAATTGAGGAACAGAGACACTTACAAGTTTATATTACAAAACTAAAGAGGAAATGAAAAGTCCTGACAAATATACAAACCCTTGGTGGCTTGAAGGAATGTCAAGAAACCTATCCCAGTGGCCCTCTGGTCCTGATTAGCATTTCCCTCTGCATATTTAAATTTTAGAAGTTTTCTAAATTTTCCAACTGTGATGGGTTTTACCCTCCCACTGAACAGGGATCTTGCAGAAGCCCTGTTTTCTGGCTGTCGAAGAAGGCTCATGACTTGATGAGTATCTAAACCTATACAAATATAAAAAAAAAAACTTTAATATTCAAATTCCTGTAGTTTTGATATCAATTAACATTTGATTTTTGATTTTTGGTGTTTTTACGCCACTTTTAAGCACCACTTTTGGGCTATTTCGTGGCGGTCAGTTTTTATTGGTGGAGTAGGCCGGAGTGCCCAGAGAAAACCACCGACCTTCGATAGGAAAACTGACAATCCTAGTCAATTAAGATTGGATTCGAGTGCACCCACACGAGCGGGGTTCGAACTCACAACCTCAGTGTTGACTGGCTAGTGATTACAGTAGTAACTACTTAGACCACTCGGCCACCGAGGCCCCTTATATCAACTAACAAATACCATGACTGTACCTGCTATTCTTCATGCAATTGAGTTCTGAAGCATAACTGATAAAGATAACTTGAAAATGGTACTTCAATTGAGGCAATGTTTTGTTTTATAGCATGATGGGTGCTGTATAGGGTGCAGGAAATCCTACCCTTTTTGGTGCACCTGATTTCACTCTCAGTTTTTAATGGAGTTTGTGTTGTTTCTTATTTATTTTAACTGATGTAAATGTCTTTTTGTTTTATGAGTCTTTGTTAACTCCTTGGTTTTGATTGTTATTGTCTTGAAGGTTTTACTACAAGTATCGCATTAGTTCAACAAAATTAGAAAATTGATTTTGATCAAATACAAATCTAATTAAATTCTTTGTGACTATATATTTAGAATACATAACTGATTTCCCATTATTCTAATATCATAGTTTGTTTATCAAAATATCTTCAATTAAAACTCTTCATGAACATGGCACTATTTTGACCGATTCACCATAAAAATGAAGTCAAGGAAATGTGACAAAACTTATATGTTTCAAATAATGACTGATGCTATCTGTAAATCTATTTATAGATTAACCAACCTTCAATAAACTGGTTTAGCTCATCTTTGCAGCTGGAAATCTGACTTTCAATAAAAGCTGCTTGCAGTGGTTTTACATGTTTTTTAGTAAAGGATGTTATTGGTACTATAAACCCAATATCTGTAGCAATATCCATAATGGATGAATATGCTTCTTTTGCATCTCGATCAGACGCACTATTCTGCATCTGAAAGCAACGAAATAAATAGATCAGTATACATGACATTATCATCTGCTGTTTTTGTATATAATCAGCAACATATTAAAAATTCGCAACATAAAAAGAAGAATATATTATCTCTTTAAAGTTATATGGTCCCTTCAATATAATTTTTCTACATTCAGTGAACCATGAAAACTTGGGTATTATATAAAATATTATAAATCACCGCTGATTTTGAAAATTAATGAGCCTCTGTGAATCAATATTAATATATTTAACAGAAGGACTAAGGTTAGAATTTTCACTTATGAATTTCCTTCTAACTGTTTACTTAAGGGTTTTTCCAGAATTAATTGTATGGGGGGAAGGATGGCTCTTTATTAAAATTTGATGGGTGGTGGCTATTCAAGAAAGATTGCTTGAACATTGAAATGAAATATCCAATTTAAAATGTATGCATGGTGGGTGTAAAATAAAAAGTGCCTTCCTAGTTTAATCCAAGCCCCTTCTAAAATAAAATGGTTGCTTCATACACTTTTCATTGTATTATCTTTTTAAAATATTATCTTTTTAAAATAATAAAATGCTTTGCAGAGTGCAGCCTGATATGATTGGAGTTCGAACCATGATCAGTTGGTGCAAATTTGGATGCAATATTCAACCTTGATACTGTCTAAATTTGTTTTGTCATAAAATTTTGGACATAATAAAGGTTTCTGACACAAAATAAATGATGTGAAAGATCATCAAAAAATTAAAATAAGTGAAAATATTTGTACTAATTTCAAATGAAGATGTGTTGCTATTGCACAAAACTGTGATATTGTGCAATATAGTCATTCACAAATACTTACTTTCTCCAGTGCATCTTACCCCCAAGGGTGACTGGGGAATAGAAGTATGGTCACCATTGGTCTTCCTCCGACCGGCAGTAAAACCCGTGCTAAAGTGGGGCGTCCGTTTGGCTGTGCGGGATGTACAAATTTGCAGCCACGTCCGGTCAGAATGGGGACGTTAAATCCGATGCCTCGTGTAAAGAGAGTGCCACGCTCTTTGCACGTTAAGAACCCTTGCAACAACTCTTTGAGTGGTCCGTAGGTGACCTGTTGCAAGGCTAAATTTCTGTCCCTATCCAATATACCCTCATTTCCCATGCCAGTCTAAATTTCTCCGACCTTAATCCCTTAATCTATTACAGAACCTACCTATTGTATTTATTGTGAACTTGTTCTCGTCCTGAATATGCATGAAATATTTGCCACTGGACGTTAAACAACCAACAATCAATCAATCAATCCAGTGCATCTTTCAGTCTATCAGGTAGATCATCAGGATTTATCACAGAGGTTTGCCCATTTATAATGTAGTCAGTTACAATATCTGAAAAAATGGGCAAACCAGGACCGTCTTGAATTATTGACAGGACTATCAGCTGACCAAGGTGAAAAAATGTTTTCTTTTTCTTTTCCAGGTTATTAGATTGGAATGTTTGTCTTCCAGGTTTTCCTGAAAAAAGAATACCAATCTTCTTAATAAATTCAAAAAAAAAAAGATGAGTGTACAAATTTTAGTTTGTTGTATGATAAACATAAATAATATTAACTTTTTTTTAACTAAGTTTCATAACATTTTGTTTAAGCAAAGTAAAGTTAGAGAGCGGAAACCAACTTTTTTTTTGTTTTTTTTTATGATTGAATAGTTAAAATCATGTCTGAGGTTGTATATTGTACTCATAGTGCATTTCCTGATATTTGATGTATTCTCTAGATCATGAGAGGTAATGAAAATCTTTTTAAGTCTTGATTTAGACAACAGTTCTTATATTCTGTGGGACATTTAAGCTCATGTTAAATAAAAGTACTTAGTAGTAGTATTGTATACATTCAGGTATTTAAAATGTCATTAAATCTCCATTTTTAACTAAACAATAACATTACCTGTTACATAACATGAATGACTAATGTTATGAAGCAAAAGGCTCCAAAACTCTCTTCTAAGACCACCTAAGTCTGCATCTTCTTCATCTACAAATTTTATACTCAAGGGACTATGTAGGTCATCTCCTGAGAATCTGATGATGGTGATGGAGTCCACCAATACATAACCCCTTCGAACCTCCATCAGCAATGGATCCTCTTCTGATGTAGAGTTTATGAACAGTTCCCTATGTTCAACCAGAACATCTTTCAACCCATCAGCAGAGGGATTTTGTCTGTGTAAAGGATACAAATGCTAACCATAAATAACATTGTCTCCCAACAAATATATAACATCTTTTCAATTCAATATTTTTTTCATAAATTACTTTGATATCAAACAATAAATTAATAGGTTTGAGATGTCTTACAATGTTAAACTATATAGATAAATGAAAATAGCAAAAATAAATGTTGCGAAAATTTATTTATATGTTCTGTACTTTCTAAAAGCTAAAGCGTTTAGTAAATGATTTTCTTCTATTCCTGTCAGCAGGTCAATAATGGTATAGGTTAGTGTTACCAACATAAATGCTCAAAGGGTATTGTACACATAAGGGTATTGTACAGATGTATTTTATAAAATGACTGTCGGGTGTGTACCCTTATTATTCATTGTAAGGTACTCTATCAGGCAATTACCCTTACTTATTAGTGTCAAACTACATTAGAGTTGTAAATCACTCTTGATAATTTTTAACCTAATTAGTAAGTACATCAAAGGTTCGGTCATTTTTTGTTACTATTCATCTGTAAAATTTAACAGAAGTGTGTATACCTGTGACAAATATCTTACTGTTACTGGTATTTTTTTTCAGTATCAGAATATATTCTTTAAATAAAATGTCAATTAAGTAAGACACTTGCTTCTCATTTTTATCTACAACAATTTCAGTATCTGCCAAAATATTTAACTGAAATTTTAGAATCCACCAAAATAAAAACCACCAAAAATTTTCTTGTACTTTGTTGCCTCTTTATCGAGAAATTTTACACTCATGAAAAGAACCTGCTATTCTTACTAATTATTTTTTTTGAGAGCTGTTCCAAATTTCACTGTGTGGTAAAAAAAAATTAAAATGCATTTCATATAATTTTTTGTTATTATGGGTGGTTTGGATCTGAACAATTTACCCTAGAATTGCCCTGAGCAAAAATAATATGACAGAAAAATATATTCATGTAGCATTTTCTAATTTAACACTTTTTTAACCAAAAAAGATTCAGAGTAACATTTTAATGTATATTTACTTGAGTTTTGGTTGGTTTATAACAAAATAATAGAATATTACCCAACATCACCAAATGGTGCTGTTTCTGGTATATAGTCATTCAAAGCATTGTCATTGGTTTCATTAACATCCAGTCCTCTGAAATAGAAAAAAAATATGTAATATGGAGCATAGTTTCCTATATGAAGATTGGAGAATTTATGTCTCAAGTTTGTTGACAAATGAACCTCAAGCACATTCTTTTCTCTATGAAAACCAGCTTATATAAATGTATGTTCAACAAGTGAATCTGTGAGCTGCTGCTCACTCGTGATACCACAACTAAAAGTAAACATTAAACAGAATGAGTAGGTGTCAGATAACACTGAAATCATACAACACAGTATATCTCACTCATTGTTATAATCCTTAATATCAAATTTCAAAAAGCTTTGTAAAGTAGCTCATGAGAAAAATTTTCACAATATTTTTTAACTTGGCTATTATGTGTATCACACTGTTTATCAATCTCTGTATTTTTTGAATGATGATATTTAAATGTTTTACAACCTTTTTTTATAAACTCAAAACAATAAAGTTCAAAAGTATGGAAACAAGGGAAAAGCATTAATAAATTCAACATTTCATCGTATTCAGAGAATAAATATTCTTTGGCAGTGACGCTCTAAATTGCTTAAGTCAAAGTTATATACATTTCATGTTGTTATTTTACACTACTGTCTCAGATTGGGGTGAAGGTTGGTGTGCCTATGGAAATAGTTAGGAGCCTCTTGTTCAGTGGTTGTTGTTTGCTGATGTGGTTCATAGTTGTTTTTGTTTCTTGTTTTGTATATAGATTAGGTTTTCCTGTTTGAATTGTTTTACACTGATTATTAAGGGGCCTTTATAGCTTGCTATTCAGGTAAGCCAAGACTCCATGTTGAGGGCCATACTGACCTGGCTAGAATAGCTGAGTTAGTTACGATTGCTTAATGATAATGATGTAATCTTACAGAAATAGGAAATATTTAGTTTAAATATCATTACAATCAACATGAACAAGGAATTGTAAACACATCTTGACAAGAATTTTTCATACTTGAAATGAACCTATTTGACACCAAAATAAAAGAAGAATTTGTCCATAGGACACATATGATGGCATGCTTTCATAAACATTTAAAAGAACATAAATCAAGAAATTTACTTATACAGTATTAATTATGACTGTAGAACATACCTTGTTATGTCAATGATTTGTTGAGACCTGTTTGTTTGATTTGGAATTGATATGGAATGGGTATTCATCTGATCTACCATTAGTGGTGCTGATGTTCTAAATAAAACTGTTGGTGAGTCGCCAGTGGCAGTGCGATATCCTGCTGCAACCACTTCCTATTACAATTTGAGAAATTACAAGAAACCAATAACAAACTTTTTTTAAAATAGCATACTATTGGGTGTTTTTTTTTTGCCTATATAGGTATCAACTACAAAATTGTTTTACTAGTGTGACAATCTAAATGTCAAACTCTCAAACTAGGCAGTTGACTTAGTACCTGGAATAATATTCAAAATTATCATTCAATTTATTGTTATTAATTTCATATATGAATTATCTAAAGTATATCTCCTTCATCCTAAGATTTGTTATATATGTGGCAAAAGTTTTGTCCCTATGTTCTATTTTAGCCATGTCAGCCATGTTGGTTGGTAGGTGGGTCATCAGACATATTTTTTTCAAACTTAATACCCTAAAGATGATTGTGGCCAAGATTGGTTTAATTTGTCTCAGTTATTTCAGAGAAGATTTTGTAAAAGTTTACAAAAAAATGTTAAAAATCGACTATAAGGGCAACAAATCCCTAAGAGGTCAATTGACTATTTTGGTCTAGTTGACTTATTTGTAGATCTTACTTTGCTGAACATTATTTTGTTGAAAGTTTATCCCTATCTATAATAATATTCAAGATAACAAACAAAAACTGTAAAATTTCATTTAAATTACCAATTCAGGAGCAGCAACCCAACAATGGGTTGTCTGAATCATTTGAAAATTTGAGGGCAGATAGATCTGACCTGATGAATATTACTACCACATGCTAATTAGATATGCTCAAAAACTGCATTTATTAAGAAGAAAAGATTTACCTGTAAAATATGACCTAATAATAATCTTGCTAAATTAACACTTACTGGGGGTGTTTCTTCTGGTACATCAATGATGCTTGATTGATTTAACTCAGCATTATTTTCCTGCACCTACAAAATTAGAATTACTCGTGTAGTGTAAATCAAAGTAAACACTATTTTAACCACCAAGGGTGACTTATTCAAAAATTTGTTGATATATTTCTTTTAAATCAATGTTTATCAATTTTTGTTAAAATAAATAAAAATAGTTCTGTATTTTTTTTTTATTCCTTTGCTTGTCAATAAAGGCTTTAAAATTCAAACCTACCATATACATGATATATATCAAAACTATAAAGTGTTTGTGATGACTGTCAATAACTTTCCGTTTTTTTCTGCCAATGAGCAAAAAAATTGGGATTGAAATACAGCAGCCAACAGGTCAACCCATCCTTTGGGTCAAGAAAGCCAAAAACATACCAGTGTACTTAATGAGTTATAGTTTTCATTTGACCAGTAAACTGCAGAAAGACATTCTTTTTACTTTCCGAATTGTTTGGAATCTGCTATTGATTGACTTTATCCTGTTTATACCTGTGTTCCACTCCTGATTGCTGTACTTCTTCTAGGCCTTCTTGGTGTTGACAGTCTTCTCCTACCATCTTGTTCGATTCGAATCATTTGTCCGTAATGGTTTTGCGAAAAATGAACATGTAGTGTCGGTCTTTTTCGATCTAGAAAAAGCCTATGATACTGCATGGAAGTATGGTATTTTAAAAAATCTCTTTGATATGGGGTTGAAAGGCAATATGCCAAATTTTATTTCGAATTTTCTATCTAACAGACAATTTAATGTTAGAGTAAATTCAACCATGTCTGATCTGTATGATCAAGAGATGGGTGTCCCTCAGGGTAGTATTTTATCTGTTACATTATTTAGTCTTAAAATCAACAGCCTTGTTGAAGTTTTAAAAAGTAATATTGAAGGGTCATTGTATGTTGATGACTTTTTAATATGTTATAGAGGCAAGAATATGAATAACATAGAAAGACAATTACAGTTATGTCTTGGAAGAATTGAAAAATGGGCCTCGGAAAATGGGTTTAAATTTTCCACTTCAAAAACGGTCGGGATGCATTTTTGTAACAAAAGGAAATTGCATCTTGATCCAGAACTCACTTTGTACGGCAACCCAATTAAAATGGTTGATGAAACTAAATTTCTTGGGTTAATTTTCGATAAAAAGTTAACCTTTCTACCCCATATCAAAATGTTAAAATCGAAATGTTTAAAAGCATTAGATATTTTAAAAGTTGTCGGCAGCACCGACTGGGGTGCTGATCGCAACATTTTACTTAATTTATATAGATCTCTAGTTAGATCTAAACTAGATTATGGCTCTATAGTGTATGGCTCTGCAAGGAAGTCCTACATACAGATTCTCGATGCTGTGCATCATCAGGGTTTGCGTCTCTGTCTTGGCGCATTTAAAACCTCACCAGTTGAGAGTCTGTATGTAGAGGCTGATGAGCACTCACTCTCTAACAGACGTTTGAAGCTTGGACTTCAATATGCTGTCAAACTAAAAGCCTACTCAGATAATCCTGCCTACAGCTGTGTTTTTAATCCAATTTATGAAGATATTTTTGCAAAACATGAAAATAAAATTCCTCCGTTAGGTATACGTTTAAAACCACATTTAGCTTCTTTTGATTTAAAATCTGTTGCTCAAGTTAAAACTTGCAAATGTCCTCCATGGGAACTTCCCAAACCAAAAATGATATTTGATCTCCGTGAACACAATAAAAATAAAACAAATCCTCTTTTAATTCAGCAACACTATGCTGAAATCAAAGCCAATTATTCAGATTTTTCAACTGTCTATACTGATGGATCAAAAGATGGTGACAGAGTTGCATCTGCTGCTGTCTTCAGGGACAGAGCTGCAACTCTCCGTTTGCCATCTGATGCATCGATCTTTACTGCTGAAGCAGAAGCAATAATTTTGGCTTTGAAATTTATTGCTTCTTCAGATAAATCCAAATTTATTATATGTTCTGATTCACTTTCATGCTTACAAGCTATACAAAATACTAAAATTAAAAACCCAACAATTCTCAAAATTTTATATGTAATGAATTTAAAAATTCTTCTTAAAGAAATATTATTTCTATGGGTGCCGAGTCATGTTGGAATCCTTGGAAACACAGCTGTAGACCTTGAGGCAAAGAATGCCCTGGGTGACCCTTTATCTAACTGTGATATACCATATACCGATTTTAAATCTAATATTAGAGAATATGTTTTTAATATATTGAAAAATGAATGGAGTAAAAAAGATGGTAATAAATTACATGAAATTAAACCTAATTTATGTAAACCTTTCAATAATTTTATGTGCAGAAAAGATCAGTGTGTTATTTCTAGATGTCGTATTGGTCATACTAGAATAACACACGAATATCTTTTAAAAAATGAAGTAGAACCACAATGTATACCTTGTAACTGCAAGTATACTATTAAACATGTTTTAATCAATTGTATTGACTTTGCTGATATTCGAAAGAAGCATTTCAATGTCAATAATATGTATGATTTATTTAATAATATTCCATTTACAAATATTGTTTCATTCTTAAAAGAAATTGGAATATATTATAAAATATAAAAATGTTATATTTAAAACGATTTTAATTTTTATCACGTTATCTTAGTGTTGATTTTTATTTTAAATAATCAATTTGCTTTAGTCTAGAATTTTAGTTTATTGAAAGACCTTTTGTCTGATTTTAAAAATATACCTTAAATTGTTATAATATTCGAATTAGCTCTCGCCGCGATATAGCCTTTCTGTGCTAATGCGGCGTAAAGCAAACAACAATCAATCAATCAATCAGTCTTCTCCTTCTTGGTGTTGATAATGTACTTCTTGTACCTGCTGAGTTATTTTGGGATACCTAAAAGAGATTCATCATTCAATCACCAGTATACTAGCAATTTTTTTTTTTAGAAGGTTCTATAAGTTAACTTTGCGAAAAATGCTAAATATACCTGTCCCTAGTATTAGGAGCTTGTAATTTTAGTGGTTGTTACAAGTTTTTTATAGTATTATACCAATAAAAAATAAACCAAATTTAACAGTGTAAGTCATTTATTAAGAAGAAAAGATTTACCTGTAAAATATGACCTAATAATAATCTTGCTAAATTAACACATACTGGGGGTGTTTCTTCTGTTACATCAATGATGCTTGATTGATTTAACTCAGCATTATTTTCCTGCTCCTACAAAAGTAGAATTACTCGTGTAGTGTAAATCAAAGTAAACACTATTTGTCTGACTACTTCAACCACCCAAGGCGACTTATTCCAAAATTTGGTGGTATATTATAATGCTGCCTCCCTGGTGTTAAGAGTTGGCCACCAGAGATCCTAGATTACATAGAAAAGGGATTTCTTAACTGGTATTATTTATTTCTGTGGAATGTCAGGTCTGATGTCTAATTAGAATACCGTCGAACCAATACACTTTACAGCTTCATTTAACCTATGTTCTACAGGTCTATCTATTTTATATATGATTGAGAAATAAAAGTCATAGCATATAACAGTTTTGATTATTTATTTGACGATTAAAACCGCTGAGAGAATGGCTGTACAGGCTCTGTCACTGGTCTGGTTGGGTCCACGGCATATTTGGTCTATCTTATTTAATCTATATATTAATCATATATATATAACTATCCAGTTACCTCTCTGTACCTCTCTGTTAACTTTGACTAGTTTATAAACTACAGGTAGCGTATAGCTTGAACAGGCTTACAAATATGCCTTAAAAGGCCACATATAAAAGCATGTAGCCTTAATTTAACAACATCTATTTCAAATAACTATCTGTATAAAACTACTTGCTATTATGGTCACAAAGACAACTATTCCATTAATACTTAAAATATTGGTACAATTGCAATTTACACCCTAAATTGTCACCAAGTATTTACACCCAAATTAGTCAGGGACTATTTACACCTTGAAAAGTCACCAACTATTTACACCGAGCAAAGTCACAGACTACTTACAATGATACAAATCACCAACTATTTACACTTTAAATTCTCACCCAACCATTTACACCTAGGAAATGTCACCAACTTGCATCTATAATAAATCATTGTTAATATAGGTGCAATTTCCTTACTTTTCCTATCGTATTTAAATTCTAAGACATTTTAAATATTGCACTCTGTAACTTTCAAACAACAAATAATCACTGCCCTCCGTAGTTGATCTTTTTAGTTTTATTCCACAAACAGCCAATCACAGATGCTTTTACATATGTTGAACCAATCAGCAGCCTTCTTTCTGTTAAGGGAAATTCCCGAAATGTTAACTCAAAATGTAAACACTGGAAGTTTTGTGTAAATAAAGATGTTTTCCAGCTTAATTTCAATAAGAAACAACACATTTATTCACCCTGACGGTTTTTACACATACAGAATAACTTAAGAATACATTTAAAAGGTTAATATTTCAAATAAACAACAGAACTAAAGGTAAAAGCACTCCGTGGACAAATTTGCAAATTTGTCACCGTGAATAAATTCCAGTCATAACATTGATCGCTTGAAACACGATAGAATTCAATCATGACAATTAATATTAGCACAATCAGCATATCAAATAAACTCATTTTCATAGCATATAATCTCACAGATCTATCGGTATTATCATTTATACTTCATAACAACACAGCAAGATGTGTTCAAAAAGGGGGGTTCATGGCATAACACCATTTCTTTTAAATCAATTTTTATTAATCATCGTCAAGATAAATAAACTAGAGGCTCTCAAGAGCCTGTGTCGCTCACCTTGGTCTATATGCATATTCAACAGGGACACTCTCCAACATTGTAGACGAGAATAGAATTAATGACAAAAATCTCTGTTTTTTTTTTTGTATCTTATATTGCTGATCATTCTCTCTATCTTCATGATCTTATTTAGCTTTTGCTTTAAACACAAAAGAGGGTAAAAAAACTCCTATTAAGATTAAAAGTCTACTTATTATATCAGCAAAATTTGACTTGTTAGTAGGTCTCGTCTTGCTTATCATTTTTGATTATTTAAGTTTCTATCTATCTATTATAATTAATATCATACAAGGAAAAACGCCAGAAAAATGGTAAAATTCATAACTAAAGGGCAATAACTCCAATAAGGAGTCGTTGGACAATTTCTGCCATTTGTCTTCATTGTAGATTTTGTCTTGCTGATCATTTTTGTATATTTAAGTTTCTTTCTATCTATTATAAGTTTTAAGATATAAGACAAAAACGAAAAAAAAATTGTACAAATCGGCATCAAAGGAAAATAACTCTAATAAGGAGTCAACTGATGATTTCAACCATAAGACTTATTTGAAGAACTTGTCCTTCTGATCATTTTTGCAATTTAAAGTTTCTCTCTATCTTTTATAGTTTTCAAGATATGATAATAGGTATAAATTGAAAAAAAGTGGTAAAATTTGCCATTGAAGGGCAATAACTCCTACAAGAAATTGTCTAACAGTTTTGACGTATATGGATATTTGGTAGAGCTCAACATTCTGAACAATTTTACTCTCTTCAGATTTCCTCTTTTTATAACGGTTATCAGAATAATAGACAAAACTTGCATTTTACCCCATATGTTCTATTTTTTGCCATCCCGGCCATCTTTGTTGGCAGGCAGGGTCATCGGACACATTTTTTAAACTGAATACCCTAATGATGATTGTGGCTAAGTTTGATTCTATTTGGCCCAGTAGTTTCAGAGAAGAAGATTTTTGTAAAAGATTAAAAAAATTTACGAAAATTGTAAAAAATTGACTATAAAGGGCAATAACTCCTTAAGGGGTCAATTGACAATTTTGGTCATGTTGACTTATTTGTAGATCTTACTTTGCTTTACATTACTGCTGTTTACAGTTTAGTTTATCTCTATCTATAATAATATTCAAGATAATAACCAAAAGCTGCAAAATTTTCTTAAAAATCCCAATCAGGGGCAGCAACCAAACAACGTGTTGCCTGATTGGTCTGAAAATTTCAGGGCAGATAGATCTTGACCTACTGAACAAGTTTATCCCGTCAAATTTGCTCTAAATGCTTTGGTTTCAGAGATATGAGCCAAAAACTGCATTTTACCCTATGTACTTTTTTTTAGCCATGTCTGCCATCTTGGTTCGCGGGCAGGGGCATCGGACACATTTTTTAAACAAGATAACCTAATGATGATGTGGACAAGTTTGGTTAAATTTGTCCTAGTAGTTTCAGAGGAGAAAATTTTTGTAAAAGATTACAAAAATTTACGAAAAATGGTTAAAAATTTACTATAAAGGGCAATTACTCCTTAAGGGGTCAACTGACCATTTTGGTCAAGTTGACTTATTTGTAGATATTACTTCGCTGAACATTATTCCTGTTAACAGTTTATCTCTTATCTATAATAATATTCAAGATAATAACCAAAAACGGCAAAATTCCTTAAAATTACCAATTCAGGGGTAGCAACCCAACAACGGGTTGTCCCATTCATCTGAAAATTTCAGGGCAGATAGATCTTGACCTGATAAACAATTTTAACCCCAGTCAGATTTGCTCTAAATGCTTTGGTTTCAGAGATATAAGCCAAAATCTACATTTAACCCCTATGTTCTATTTTTAGCCATGGCGGCCATCTTGGTTAGTTGGCCTGGTCACCGGACACATTTTTTAAATTAGATACCCCAATGATGATTGTGGCCAAGTTTGGTTAAATTTGGCCAAGTAGTTTCAGAGGAGAAGATTTTTGTAAAAGTTAACGGACGATGGACGCCAAGTGATGAGAAAAGCTCACTTGGCCCTGTGGGCCAGGTGAGCTAAAAATTGTTCTGTTAAAAAATTGTCAATAAAGGCTTTACTTTTATAATTTGTGACTTGGATGGAGAGTTGTCTCTTTGGCCCTCATACCACACCTTCTGAGTATCTATTAACAATTCTAACCTGCCATATATATAAAAAAATATAGTGTGTTTGTGATGACTGTCAATAACTTTCCGCTTTTTCTGCCAATGAGCAAATAAAATGCTCTGCTGGGCGCAGCTTGATACGACCGCAGAGGTAGAACCCTGAACAGTTGGGGCAAGTTTGGACACAACAATCAAGCTTGATACAGCACTGAATTTGGATAGTGATTAAATATTTGACACAGCATAGGTTTCTGAAACAGAATGAATGTGGTCCAAGAACAGAAAATTTCTTAATTTACCTATTCAAACCATCATTATTATTTGCTTTTATATATAAATCAGAAATAAACAATTTAAAATGGAAAATTTTAAAGAAAAAAAAAGGAAAAAAAAATCCCTCCCCCAATTTTTTTGAACCCCCTTATGATTCATCACCCCCAAACTCAATCTCAGCCTTCCCTTTGTGGTATGGTACCTTGCAGTACAATTTCAGAGAGATCCATACACTTGAACACAAGTTATTGTCTGGAAACTAGAAAAATGCGTTTTTTGGCCCCAAATTCCTAAACGTTTTGGGCGATTACCCCCAAGCTCAATCCCAGTTTTCCCTTTGTGATATGGAACCTTGTAGTACAATTTCATAAAGATCCATACACTTACGCACAAGTTATTGTCCTGAAACTAGAAAAATGCTTGTATTTTGCCCCTATTTTGCCCCTTTTTTTTTAAATTTTGAGGCAATTACCCCCAAAATCAATCCCAGCCTTCCCTTTGTGGTATGGTACCTTGCAGTACAATTTCAGAGAGATCAATACTCTTGAACACAATTAATTGTCTGGAAACTAGAAAAATGCTTATTTTTTGCCCCTTTTTGGCCCCTTATTCCTAAACGTTTTGGGCGATTACCCCCAAACTCAATTCCAGCTTTCCCTTTGTGATATGGAACCTTGTAGTACAATTTCAGAAAGATCCATACACTTACACACAAGTTATTGTCATGAAACTAGAAAAATGCTGTTTTTTGCCCCTTTTTTGGCCCCTAATTCCTAAAATTTTGAGGCAATTACCCCCAAAATCAACCCCAGCCCTCCCTTTTTGATATGGAACCTTGTGGTACAATGTCAGAGAGATCCATACACTTACACACAAGTTATTGTCAGGAAACTAGAAAAATGCTTGTTTTTTGCCCCTAACTCCTAAAATTTTGAGGCAATTACCCCCAAAATCAACCCCAGCATTCCCTTTATGATATGGAACCTTGTGGTACAATGTCAGAGAGATCCATACACTAACACACAAGTTATGTCTGGAAGTTACAAAAATGCTTATTTTTGGCCCCTAATTCCTTAACTGTTGGTACCTTAACCCCCAAAATCAATCCCAACCTTCCTTATGTGGTATTGAACCTTATGGTAAAATTTCATAGAGATCCATTAACTTAAACTAAAGTTAGAGTGCGAAAACCAATGTGTCTTCGGACGACGACGACAACGTCATACCAATATACGACCACAAAATTTGTTTGCGATCGTATAAAAATAGGGATTGAAATACAACAGCCAACAGGTCAACCCATCCTTCATGTCCTTTGGGTCAAGAAAGCCAAAAACATACCAGTGTACTTAATAAGTTATAATTTTCATTTGACCAGTAAACTGCAGAAAGACATTCCTTTTACTTTCCGAATTGTTTGGAATCTGCTATTGATTGACTTTATCATGTTTATACCTGTGTTCCACTCCTGATTGCTGTACTTCTTCTAGGCCTTCTTGGTGTTGACAGTCTTCTCCTTCTTGATGTTGATAGTGTGCTTCTTGTACCTGCTGAGTTATTTTGGGATACCTAAAAGAGATTTACAATTCAATTACCAGTATACTAGTCATTCAAAGTTATTCTTGTAACAATGTTCTTTAAGAAAACTTTTCAAAAAGAAATGAATTGAAAACCAGAAATATATTCCCATACAAAAGTATTATTTTGATGGTCTATTCACTTTAACACTGTTTAATGCGAATATATCCTGTCTCTGCATTCACATACCTGTGGTGCTCCAGCCACAGTACTCAAATCCTAGAAAAAAATTATAAAAAAAATTGAACAAGGCCTGTCAGAAGGCATTTATCAGTTTTTTGTTAACATTTATCAGGATAATAATCAAAATTGACAACACTTTAAGGCAGGGGACACATGTAGACCATACTACACAAAATTTTAAGTGCCACTGTGGTGTTGTCAATTTTTGTTTATAATTTAAGTTTTGCATTCATTTGTACTATTTGACAACCAAACATACCAAGGTACCCACTTCATGGACTCTACCGAAAGGATTCACACAGGCCTAATCCGCATTGGCTGACCAGAAAGAGTTTAATTCATTTGGATAGTGCAATATTTCAAGAACTATAACTCAGTGGAACAGTAAAAGTGAAAAAAAAACTGATTCCCTATTTTGTCCCAAGTAACAACATTTATAAGCATTATGTATTTAAGTTTGAAAACAAATTTGTTGAATGGTTCCTAAGTTATCTTATAGATAGTCAGCTTCAGCCTACCATACAGCACCACATTTATTACATGTCAATTGAATGTGACCTCAAAGTTGCATCAAACTTTATGTCAAGAAATACAAACTGGTGATACACCTGACATGCTTAAGAGAAGCTGCACCTAGAGCAAATGATACACCTGTATTGAGCATATATCAATTGCTGCTGATAAATAAAATAGGAAAAGAAGGCATTAAAATTTGTCTTTAATTCAAAATAGTAAAATCCTGTAACTCCAGAATAACAAATAAATAAAAAAGGAGCTTCTTTATAACAATCCTGACAATAATGTAAAGTTTCAAGGAAATCAATCTATGAATACCTGAATATTGTACTAAATTTAATGTGCAAAATGTGAAAAATTGCCTTTTTTCAAATAATTAAAGTCCCATAACTCTGAAATGATATAACTAAATAGAAAGACACTTTTCTTCAGCCAATCCTAATGTTGTTTTAATATAGCATAAGAAATAATACATCCCCTCTCAGACGGTCATATAAAAACTCTAGTTTCTTGATATTTTCACATTTTCTCTGCATTATTTAGATGGTCAGATAGTGTTATGCAATTTTTTTCTCTTTATATTCCAGCAATAAAATGTTTGAATATACATTACCAGCCTCTGTCTTACTGGTACAGTAATTGGTGGAAGCATATCTTCATTAGTCAAATCCTAAAAAATATAGTCATGCATATGATCATGAGGATTCATATTTTATATTCTAGGGAAAATATAAAAAAATATAAAGTGGTAAAATATAAAAAAAATATAAAGTACTTATCTTGAACGGATTGTTACCAACAATTATACTATTTTACACATTTACCTTATCTTAATTCAAGTTCCAGTTTATTAAAAAAAAATAATATAAAGAGCATTGTTAAGAAGTTTCATTTACAAATGTATACCATGAATAAAACAATTTTATCCTTTAATACCTCTCATATTTTCATTTCTTATGCTTAATCCTGTCAATAACAAACAAACAAACAAAAACTAGTCATTACTGGCATTAGAACTTTGTAATTGGTATATTTGATAATATTTGGAAACACTGAAGTTTCTTCTGTTTTGGTATTATTTATAAATACTTATAACCAATTATAAGAAATATCAAACAAGGAATACATCATGTATACCAAGCTGACAAAAATAAGTAAAACCAAAAATAACATAAACATGTATACTAAAAGAAAGAAAAAGTGTGGTGAATGTGAGAGGAAAATATTTCAGATAGATTTGATACAATAAAAGACATTCAGTTTGTCTTGTAGACCTTTCACTTCTCAGTATTTATTCAAAATTACTATAAATAACAACAACAGAACATGTTATAATTGAGTTTGCTTCATCTCTCTAAATACTTGCTATATAATCAATGTAGTCATATCTTTTGGTTTGGCAGAGATTAACAAAATCATTTATATTTATAATGATGCACATATCCATAAGTTTTGTTGGTTATTAAAGAAATGATATCAATCACTGACCACATGACAAATACTTTTACTTTTTAAAAGTCATAGAATTGGATATAAATGTCATTTTATACATTGAATGAAGCACAGAAGCATGGGTGCATGGTTCAGAAGATGTACAGAAAACTGGTTACCTTTTGTTGATTGCTTAGTATACCCACCGACAATTTTTCAAGTTGATTGCTATGTTTGAATCAGTGAAAAACTCTTAAACTATAATATGGATACCAGATAATGGTAAAAGCTACATTTTGTATCTAAATATTTGCAGGTGAAAAAGGGTGCATTATATAGAACAAAGAAAACATTCAATAGCTACAATGTATTAATAAAACAACTCTTAATCCAAAGGAGAAGACACTTTTTCTTCAACCGGCTAAGTACAGTACCACATCTATTACATTTCAAGTGTCTTCACCTGTGGGTCAAAAGTGTTCCAGCAGGATGACAATAAGCATTTATATTTTTTCTGTTTTTCTGCTTCTACATCTTCTATCTAGAATTTTGTTGAATAATAATCTAGTTATTAAAACTATTTAAATGTTTTGATATTAACTTTATGTTAGAACATAAAACAAGAAAATATAAGTATATACCACACCACCATGACCACCCTTCACCTTTGGGAAATTGTAGCCAGAACACTTGACATTTAAAAAAATAAATAGCGCTTATATTCCATTACTTCAAAAATATATATATACAGTTTACCATTGTTATCTTGAGGTTTTCCTGACTTGAGAATTCATTTTTAGTTGATAGATTTAGCTTGACTCGAAGAATACATGAAGTTTTGCAGAATAGGGCCAACTCTTGTCCCACTTATGGAAAGGTTAAAATAAATCCAGCAGGGTAGAAGTCTGGGATTGATGTTTTGAACTGAGATACATGTATATTATGTTATCACCTTTGTCATGTTTATAAAATTGAATATATTTTTTTTTCTCATGCTGTTTTTATACATTTCATGTTGCTTTTATCAAGAATGATATGTATTACTTCAAAATATTTGCATACAAAAGTTACATTAATAACATGCTAAAACACATTTTGAGTAAAATTACATAGAACTAAAATGTTTTCTCAGATATGTCATATATGGAACTATAAATAGACCAAAGTTTGGGACCACACTTTTTCAAGTCAACCAAAATCAAGACAAAAAGAGTTAACTGTATATATATTTATATATAACTGTATATATATTTATATATTCAATATGGTTTTACTTGCACTTTAATCTGTAACAAAGCACAACACTTTTTTTGGTTATTTCATCCATAATTAAAGAACCTTAGTAAGCGCTCTCACATACCCCACGTCCCCACATTGTCATTGGAGAAATAAAATAAGTGTAAGAAAAAAAAATTGAATCATAATTTCCTGTCAATATGCACATCTACATAGTATGTCCTTATTATCTACAAAGTTATATGAAATTATGTTATGTGGTTTCAGAGGAGTTGTGATGACAAACTGTTGCAGTAGTACATTGAAGCAAATAAGTTCAAAGGGGCGTAACTCCTAGAAAAAAATGAATCGTAATTTCCTGTCGATATGCACAACTACATAGTATGTCCTTATTATCTAAAAAGGTTTCATGAAATTATGTTGTGTGGTTTGAGAGGAGTTGCGATGACAAGAAACAAGACGGACGGACGGACGGGTCAAAAACATTATACCCTCCGCAACATAAATAAACAGGATGGAACAAATTTTAAGACTATAACCATGAGGAGCGTCAGGTGGAACTTGATATTATTTGGTCTAATAGGTACATTGAAGATTTTTTAAACAGTTTACAATGACATATTATGCCAAGTGAAGGCAAACGCACACCTGACCCTTTTGGTCTAGTAAGGTAAAAAATACAAGATTTAATGTTTTGTATTGATATAAATATAAACTACATTTGAACACGAATAAATTGATTATCCTGATTAGTATGTTTGTGTGTTGATGAAAAACCCTATTTGGGATTTTCTATAAAAAAAAAAATCTTTGATTTAACTTTTAACTTAATATCATTATACTAGACTTGTTCTTACATTATTTCTATGACCCAACCTTGATCTTCTTTGTGGTATAGCATCCTGTCAAAAGAAACCAAATGATAATCAACATATTTACCAAAGTTTGCAATCTAAATTTGTACATGTATAATAAAAATATGAGTAGTCCAGTAATATTGTTTACAAATAATTTCAACATTTTTTTTTCATTACTGTGTACTGCAGTTAAAGACAACTTTTTTTTTTATCTCTTATTGTACTGTATTAGATACAATATATAGATGCAGGTTGTTTTGTGTCCTAGATATTTCTTATTTGTTTACATTAATATGAGCTCACAAAATTATACATCCGCCCCTTGCAAAAATAAAAAAGATTAAGAAACAAGAATGCGTCCATTGTACATGGATGCCCAACTCACACTTTTATTTTCAATATTCAGTGGACCGTGAAATAGGAGTAAAAACTCTCAATTAACATTAAAATTAAAAATATCATGCGGAACATATATACTTAGTTTCAAGTTGCTTGGACTTTAAACTTTATAAATACATTGACTAAAAAGTGTGCACTATCATTTTCTATGTTCAGTGGACTGTGAAATATGGGTCAAAACTCTCATTTGGCATCATATCATAGGGAACATGTGTCCTAAGTTTCAAGTTGATTGGAATTCAACTTCATCAAAAAGAACAAAAAATATAATCTGAAGAAGGACAGATGGACAAATGAACGAAGACACAGAGACCGAAACACACTATAAAAATGAAATAGACAGTGCCTAATGTAACTTTATAATTAAAACTAAAAGAAAATTTTAATAAAATATCAAAGAAGAATTGTGGATACAAAATATCCCCCCCCCCCCCTTTTACAAATTAAGGGGTGGTTTGATACATCCATTTTTCTTTCCTATTTTAAACTATAAATAGATAGAA